TCCAGAAAATGATATGCATTTTCGAAAGAGCATATCAGCAATCCCGTATATTCTCGTAAAAATATGTAGATTAATCTTATTGTTCATTTCAGGTAAAAGACCTTCTGAAGATTTGCTGGTTTGTGGCTCACCTTTTCAGCTTCAGCAGCTGCGCCCTGAATCCACTGATTTACGGGTTTTCGAGTGAGACTTACAAGAAAGCGTTCCTCCTGACATTTCCGTGGTTATTTTCAAGAAAGGTATTTTGAATTGATTATATAGTGAAATTTTATATAAAGAACCCATCTATAGATTATATACAGAGAGAGAGAGAGAGAGAGAGAGAGTGTGTGTGTGTGTTTTCGGATTCAGTAGAATTTTCAACTGATGTGAAGATCAGAAACAAAAATCTCAAGTATGTCGACTGAGAATATATGAGGCTCCTTTTTGCTTCAATACTTTTCAATTTAAAAAAAAATGTTTGTAATCAATCAACAGAGAACTTGATTTTCTTTTAATCTTTTTTTAAACTGCACTTGATGCAAAATGCCGGCCTGTACATTCATTTAGTTATCTAGCTGATGTAATTATCGCCGAGCAAATGGTTTGCGTGATAGCTTAGTCAATTTTAGATGCTCCAATTTAAAATGTATCTTTCTCTGAATTTTTTAAATAAAATAAATTATGACAAGAGTCAATAGTCTTCCCTTTCTGTGGGGAAATTATCAGGAATTAATTGAACCAATATTTTATTCTTCAAAATTTTTGAGTTTTTTACTGAATTGAATTGTTGGTTTATTACACATGATCCATGTTTTTTGGACTCGATACTTTTCACCAATACGTTTCACCTTGTGCGGTAGTTTATTTCAAGAGGACTACAGTACTTTATTTAAATTCAATAGGGAATTCATGAATAAAAGTCTCGTAAAACCATAGGCACTTAAGGTATGTTTCACGTAAATGAAACATCTTCGGCTGCAAGCTCAACTGCTTTCTCAACCCTCAGCCTTCTTCCTCTATAAAAACCTTTCGGCATAACCGTCTTACGAACATGACTGCAACCGGACATGTGCTTGCAAATGCCAACTTTCCAGCAGAACAAGTCGAGAAATCCCATGAAGTAGCTGTTGGCATTGCATCTGTGACTTGAAACTTTTTTCTCAAAAACGGATCAGAAAATTTCTCGTCATTCAGCTTTACGGGCCGAACAACAACAAAATAGTCTGATTCCGAAAATAATATTCACCATGACTCATTTTTGTTTTTCATGAGATATATTGGTGTTGAATAAATTGAAGGCTCCGAACATTTTTCTCTACTTGAATCTCAACTTTGAATAGTTTTAAACAGTTGAGATCATAAAAAAGATTTAAGCGTCAATAAAGAAAAGCTTTATAGTCATGAATACCATCACAAATATGCAAGCGAAATAAAACAAATCAACGGCAAAATAAAACCCACCAATCCGGGAATGAAGTTCATTACTCAAGAACGAGGGGAATTCAAAAATTCAATTTTCTCACTCAATTCTCGATGAGCTTTCTAAAGCAACTTTTCCGAATTTTCCTGTGACATTGAACCACGAGACTTCGGAATTTATCATAAAACCGACATCTAACACGAAAAACAGAACACATGTTTTTAGTCTCTCAAAGTGAAACTAGATGTCGCTAAAACGTTTCTCCTTATGGTTAAACCCCTCCTGTCGTCGTACAATTTTCCAGAATGATATGATGAGCAAGTGTGTCATTTATTTCTACTAACTCGGCTTGAATTTGCTTTCCCAGGTCGTAGAAATGAGTACCTTCAGGCTCCTTGATGAGAATATTTAGGGCTTCTTCCAGGAATTCCCTGCTACTCAGAAGCTTGGATTGAGCGGCAACCTGGGCATTCTTCTCGTTGGAACCCAACAATGTCGCGAACTGTCGCTGACACCTGCCGAGTTGCACGCAAATCATTGCTCTTACTCTGGTCAGTCCTGGACAAAGTACGTTCATCAGATTGAGCAGTTCCTTGCAAATATCTTCTTTCTTTTGAATCTCTGAAAAAATCGAAGATCGAATTTAATCAAAATGTCGAAAAAATTACAGCAAAGAAACTCACCAATCTGATCATTTTCGTCAGATGGGAGCAATTCCATGAGGGCATATTTTATCTGAATAGCGTAGCTGGTTGTTGGCAGCATAATTCGACTGAATTTTTCTAAAAAGGCTTCCATTTCCTGCGCTGTTTTGCCAAGTTGCGCAAAATGAGTCTTCACTTTCTGCTCGATGTCTTTCACAGTTGAACTCTCAACTTTGTTCTTGCAGCTAAAAATGAGGGCTACTTTTTCAGAATATAAACAGGCTTATCTATACATTTAATGTTCAATTATTGATTCAGCATGTGAAGAATTTCATTTTCGCATAATGGGGATTCTGATCAGCGTGCCTAAATTAACGCAGGTTGCATTCACGAAAGCCACGGTATACATTATTCCTTTTTTGTTTACTCCATTTTAATAATTGTCTTCTGGCTGAATATAAACGTGGTTTCCAAACAAAAAGAAAAACGAAATAAGCAATTTTTCTCCATTTTGTAATCAGCATTAGCATTGGTCTAAACCATCCTCCGTGCTCCTGTAAACGTACATTTAATTGCTTCCTTCAAATGTATACTTTCAGAAAAATATTTAAAAATATATAAATACAGTATACCGAAAATAAGTTTTCCGTCGACAATGTTCCCAGTTTTCAGGTGAATAAAAGAGTCTGTTATAAAAGCAGTAAAATGCATATCCTGCATGATATTATGGTATTCCCGTAATGGATTCATGCTGTTTTGATAAATTCCAGAGGTTAAAAATATATCGCTTTAGTTGTGAATATTCCAACTGGATTCTTCGAAGCCGTAAATGAAACATACTCGTAGCAAACCCAGTCACTGTTTGGATCATTAGCATCACTGATGATCAGTCGTCCATCATCACAAGCCTGACACTTCCAGGCGGTCATGAAGGTGCCAAATTCCGTGGGATCTTCGCAACGTTGGCAATGACAAAAGAAAATTTTTGAAAACTCCAAATGTGACCTTCGAGCAAGTGTATGTGACAAAGGCTGAAAAAAGAAGAGTTTGTTCTCAATTTTTTCAATTGACATCTGAATGCATGCATATAGGATCCCTCTCAAATATCCAGCTGATTCACCTGTGTGTAACAGGCAGTGATTGTTTCCCCAGCGCGAATCGGGACAGTTGCTCTCACTGAAATGGAAAACGTGGGCCATTTGCCCGGTGAAACCAGGAAGAAAAGGTTCATAAAGGTGAACCCTTAGTCCGATACAACGCACAACCGGGACGTCAGTACCCGGTACATTCTGCTATAGATCTTTGTGCCTTTTATGCGCTTAATAAAACCATAAAATATTCAGTATATGCATCATTTACTCGATAATATTATCAACAGCATATTCTACGGCAAGGGACATATTCCAAGAATCACCCCTGAATCGCACGGTAATCTAATACTGTATAATGCAATTCTGAGATTATTCTAGTTCATATCTCCATCAAGGACGTACAATAAGATTCGATCTGCAGTTATATGAACATGTAATGCGGCAATGGCTGGAAGAAACAGTTAACTTTTGCAAACATTTGGTTTTTCTAACAAACTAAATATCAGCTGATTTTCTGAAATAGGTAAAGCCCCCCAAAACTCTTGTGTCCATAACTCCATTTTAAAATTAAGAATTATCTGTGCACAAAAATGTTCATATTTTAGCCCAAACAACTAAGTTCAAAATGTACAGTTCATCAAATACTGTACATGCATTATATAAAGGGCTCCTCAGATCGTGAACATTGGGAAACTTTCGCCTGGAGCATTATCCGAAGAATAAATTGATATAGGACCTGTCTTACGTCTTTCAGAATTTAGACTATGCAAGGTACTGTATTGGCAGAGGGGAAAACAGATTAAGCCTCAAGATGCGGACATTATAGCTGCTTGGACGTTGTTCCTTTCTTGGAACATCTGCATGTAGAATCACATTTCACCGTGGAATTCATTGGATTCATTGGCATTTAGTGTATTCAATGGCTTCTTATGCTGCTTAACAAATATGGGGGAAATCTATTAAAAAATAGTAATTTTTTATCAACTTCAGGATTCAGAAGAATAACGGTGCATAAGAAAGTCACACAGAATCTGATCTTTTGGCATGAAAGGATCCCAAAAATCACAAAAAAGTTCATGTATTGTCATGCTGTGCACACATGACCAAAAAAATCTCTCAAAAATTAAAAAAGTAGCCCCTTTTTGAATAATGAGTAAGAGTAAATTTATGTGGATTGAATAGATGCGTTTGTCGAATACATATCAAATATTTGACGAAAAAATTTTTTTTTCAATATTCTAGAAATGTTGGCAAAGTGTCCTTATGTATGAAGGGACATATTTTCTTTTAGTTTTACTCTCGTAAGTGACCCTCGTCAGTTGAGTCGTCTGTACTTTCGGGGGACCCGAGATGTACATGTCTTACTTGGAAAAGTCCACGGAGGTTTTCAATGCCGGCATTGCGAACATCAAAGGCGTTCGTATTCCAGATGCCACACAGGTCATGAATCTCCGCTTCGTCCACGTCAGTCATGTCGTGGAACTTGAGATAGTAACGAATGAACTGCACAATGTTGTTTTGATTCATGCGCCAGAACTCTGGCTGCAAATGTCGCCTCGTTTCGGCGTGGGATTCCATACTGACAACATGCTTCCATTTCTCCGGCTCGTTTCTCTTGAGCCACAAGCACCTCAGAATACAGATGCACCTGGCAACATATTTTCCCCCGGGTACATATGGAATGTTCATCATCAGCACACAGGTATAAATGAAGACGAAAAGCGGCGACGACGACGACGCCGACGACGACTCACCCGTAAACTTTGGAGTTTTTCATCAAATTTCTGATTTCCGACGACAGTTTCCCGCCTTGCCAACTGCTAATCAACTCGCATTCCGGGACGTGGAAAGGGGACTTTTCGCAGGTTTCCGAACACAAAAGCCAGCCACAACGTTGACAATAATAGTGCTGATTGTCTTCATCATCATCGTCGTTGTCGTCACGTCGGGATTCCAAGGACAGGGACTTGTGACACCCGATGCACAAGGGTCTGGAGATTTGTTTTGGTCCAAGAACCAGAGGAAGCTCGTCGATGATGACTTCCCCGGCTTCGATGTTTCGCTTAGCAACTAGGGAACGACCGACGATCGGCAGCACTTTCACCTATATAGACAGTTTATGCCGTCGTAAAATTGAGTACATTGGTTTCATCAGACAATGACGAGCATGAAGCCTGATAAAGACGATCTCGAAAGACTAATCTAATTTGATGGAAAATACGCTCGTTGATGAAAGAGCTATGAAAATGTCTCAAGACCAAAGAGCAGGTTTCATAAAATAGGGCGTGGAAACAGCAAAAACTTCCAGAAGAGCAAAAGATCATAATTTCAAAGTTAAAAAGACTGAGCTGCGTCCAAAATATACGTAATTAACAAAGAGAGGGCACTTTAAATATACAGTACTCACATTGTATCTTTAAAAACTTTGTATCTTAATCATAAAGTAAGTATAGTACAGCCATAAGATGAGTCAAACTGTCCATATGTCAAATCATGTTTTCCCGTAGACTTCCATGGAAAGATATATAATTGGTTCTCCTGTTCAACAAAAATTGGGAATAAAATGCCCAGATAATTCAATAAAAATATTTTCTCGACTTCATGATACAGAAAGTAATTGCACAGAAAAATCCGCACATTACATGATATTTTGGAAGCAGAAACAGCTTGAAAAAAAAAAAGAAGGAGAACAAATCCGCACAAGTGGTTCCCCACAATTCAACCCTATATTGTAATTCATTGCCAGGATATAGAATCAAATTGTGAAGCAGCCAAATAGCTAGCAAATGTTAAATTGTATGAATTCTAGGGCTATTTATAATTAAATACATACTTAATGTTCATCATAAATATCTGAATGAATTCAAAAGATATCAACATTTTGTTTAATACACTGTTTCCAATTTTTCTAGAAATTTTACAAAAAATGTGTGCATCTCAATACATTATTGTCCAGGTACTAAATCAAATCTTTTGAGTTTTCCCTGAGTTGAATTGTCCATATGCTGGGGTCCCAGTGTATAAGATCAATAATAATGCAATTTCACCCACCTTCTTGTGACATAGACTTTGATGTGAGCTGCATGTTTCTGCTGGTGTTTTTACGCATGTACTCTTTCCCAATTTTGCGTAAGTTCCAATCACATAGTCATAGATTTTATTTGAGTATAACTCACCTCAAAAATCTGACAATTCTTCTTGTGCTCTTTCCAGTCCTGAAGCTGGTGTTCCCTGGAGCAGTATTTGGCGATGGAACATTTCGAACAGCACTTGGTAGCAGGAACATTGCAAATGTAGCAGCCAGCGACTGCTATTCGATTTCCACTAGACATGTTAATGCGAAGAAATGAATTCCTGGCCTTTTTGCCCTCTTAAATTTTGCACACTGACTTTTGCATTCGATTACGCAAACTGTCGCACTCGAGAAAAATCCTCTGTGGCAGTAAAACCAGAATAAGGAAAATATCAGCTGCTTCGACACAGTAAGTTTCTTCATCTTAGCTCCATATAGTCAAATTTTCTCACTTGAGAAACAGTGCGTCCCACCATCACTTTAAAACGTGTAAAATGTGATTCGATGAAAGAATTCATAACTTTGTATTGCTGTAGTTTTGAATTTCTGATTCAGGCAATGTAACATTTCGAATTTAAATTTGCTTTAACCATTACAGTTCAAATAATTCTATAAAAGCAAGGTCTCTATTTATGACGACCGAACTTCACCCTTTAGAGTTGGTCATGTAACTATCCGATTTACTATAATGAAGAACTTGAAGTATGTGGGCTTCATTCGGAAACAATGCGTGCTCTTTAATAAAAACAGGATGCGTTCAAATGAATCACACGCGTTAATACTTCGGAGATTTCGTCTTGAGCAATTCAATAGGTGTGTATGTTTAAATGAATAAGTTCTGTAAAATTTAATTTTATGATCTTCAGAAGTTGAAAATTTCAATTTTCATGAAATTCAACGATTCCTAATTCGTGCCTTTCGTGTGCATTATTATTCAGATTTTTGTCAGCCATTCAGTATACTGTATTTGTTTTTCTTGTCCAGTGTGGCTGCGAAACTCCTTGGCAACAGGTGTGTTCGACCTTGCACAAAATTTTCGATTTTCAACCATGAAAAGCTCAGATCGTAAATCTTATGGTGTCTGTATATTTCACGTGAAAAAGGATCGCGTTGAAATATTTTGCATTCATTGCCATACCACCCGCATCCTTTCACGCAAAAATTCGGCATTAGAAGAGCGTGCTTGCGTCACGCCGAATCTCGAATGTGTTTGAAGTTGCTCCATGGGAATTCTTTTAAATATTGTCTCTCCGCGATTCGATATTTTTCTGCATGCACGTGGACGCATGGTATTCGAACATGTGTTTTCTCTTTTAAGTTAAAAAAGTAAATACTCAAATACATTTTAAAGTTTTTCTGAGTAATTCCTCGGTATAAAAAAAATCAGGCGCTTATATTGCGTACTTCATAAGTTAGTAAACATGATACCATACTGTTTTCAAGTTCCGAGGACTTCCACAGAATCCACACTGAGGATTGCATGAGAACCCAGCTCTCGTATACTGTACCTTCAAAAGACGTGCCTTCTGTAATAAGGCAGGAAAGCAGAAAATAACCTCCCCCCTCCTCAAGCAGCATCAAGTGAAAAAATAAGAAGAAGAAGGAGAACAAGAAAAACCCCGGGCGAGGATGAGGACTCCCAAAAAATCGACTGAACCCGGAAAAAAAAAGAAGCAGTTTTCTCTTATTCTCGCACAGCAGTGCTGGTGCTCACACCAGCCGAGTTCCGCTTAAGAGAACGGAAACGGATACTGCACAGCACTGCACTGGGGCACGTGTCGACGACGTGATTCACGACGCTTGCTCAACTCAGTCGACAGGAGAAGCACTTTGGAGAGTGAGGGGACATGGGAGTGAAGGAAAAAAGGTTCAGAAGGGATTTAACCTCTCTCACAGAAGGATGAAATGCACGCAAAAAACCTCACAACCCGCTATCGCCTGCTGCGTTTTTCTCCAAAAATAAAAATAAATACAGTACTTCAATCTGCAGGAAAATTCGGCGTCAACAATTGTGCAGAAAACTCTTCGAAACCCGAGAAACGGAATCATTATATTGTGTCAGCGAGTGCAAGAGTGCCGATGCAAAAATAATCTATTGAATAAATGAATCAGCGCGACTAGCTGCAATTTTCTTTATAAGCTTCAAAATTTCTGCGATATGGTTTTTTATTTTATAGAATAAATACATTTCGGGGCTGTTTTGCAAGAAACAATTTTTTATATCTTCATTATTGCATTCTACTCACTGTCACAGGGCAGGTTCACCTTGATATCAGCATTCTGAATTGCTGAAACAAAAGTGATTGCCCAAATCGAAACCCAAAAAATGCTGCAGACCACACGCAGTTTCCGGTTTATTCAAATACATCTTTGGACCAGAAAAAATTCATTCGATTGGGAAAAACACCGGAAGGGTGGGAACGAATATCTTTAAATAAAACGGATTCTAGTACCCTTCCAGAATTTGAATTATCATAAATCTCTAGCTGTAGGATTGCAATTATTGACTGGCTTTTTCATTGTAACAGCATCGCTCTGAAGGTTATTGTAGGACTATAATACAAGGTTTTAATTGTATTTTGAAAGCTACAGAAAATTAAATAACTCCGAATCGCTTGTTGAGTATAAAATACAGAGAAGAAAAATTTGAGTTTTCGCTCCAATTTATAAAACAAATCAGTGATCACGTATACTGTCCATCCGAATCGCTCAAACCACCGAAGATTGTGGCTTAAACTAAAACTAAATCAGGATTGAATGACTCACAAACTTCGCTGAGGCATTGATCATTAAAGTCTTCTCAACACGAGGCGAAAAAAAAAAATCAACAAACACGAGTCGAACCTGGGCTGATCCGAAGCGACCCAACCGACACCGACGCTCGAAGGAATGTGACGCAAGTGGGTTCGGTTCCGTATTGGCAGGCCCAACAGGTAGTCTTTTTTTTTGTGTGCATCATATGGCCCTAATATTATTTTTCAACACATTTCCCGGTCTTCTCATGAGAAAAGGCGTCAATGTCTGACGTGAATTCTGGCAAGCTGACATACCTCAGACGTTCTAAAAAAGCACTTGCGGGATGCTCCAGATAGTGACGATGAATCGTTGCTGCAGAAAAAAAAAAACTCAAGCCTTTGTTGATGAACATACAAACGTTTCATCGTCGATGTTTATTTTGGAATGATCAAAAATCAAAACGAACTCGTGAGTCTTCGATGAATGTCAAAGTCAAATTATGCAACACTTCAGCGCGTCAAACACTCGAAAAACTCGGCAACATTCCACACATTAGGATAATCATGACAATAATAATAATAATAAATGCCAGTCATCGCAGCGTGAAGAAAACCCCTCGAAATCATTTTCTCTCGCTCTAAAAATAAAAGATGTCAATTTTCTTGATCGACATAGAATTCTCGATCCATTTAAAACTTGCTCCACGGGATAACCGCTCGAAAAATTCAAAGTTTCAGAATTATCTTAATTTTACTCGACAGCATTCAAAGCAAAAAAAAACACCTTTGATCACAAAACGAAGGAGGCACAATATTCAGACTCTTGACTAGTTTGGTTTTTTTTCTCCTCTTTTCAGCGAATTGACCTTCTTCAGAAATGAAATGTTGCACTCGTTTCTTCAGGTGGTGACGCCGTCGGAACCCATAATCAAACGTAGCTTTCTTGTTGTGACGAGCAAAGCAAAAACGAGTCCAATAACCTGGGTTCCACTAAATCCGATGCGTTGCATGATTTCAGCGGATCCATTCCACAGGCAGTCACGAGTTTTCGCAAAGCAGCCTGAAAAATCACAGTATTTGCGACGAAATTCAGCACACTTGTTCTCAGCAAAAGAAAAAAAATACATTGTGATCCCTTCAACTCTGGATCACGCCATATTGCAATAATTTAGCAAGACTTCTTTAATTTATATATATTGTCTTGACTCTGTTTGTGTGTATTTGGAATACGAGTGTGATTTAGAATACCAAGGAAATATATCATATATTCATATTTTGTATTTATCAAGTGTTTGATTTATTGATGCAAGCAAAGAATATATTTGCACAAGCAAGTTAAGATAACAAAATAGACATGGCTCAGCTGCAAGTGCATAAAAAATAAAATTGTACCAACGTATTTTCCGAAAACTATTGCCAAATTATGTTTTACGTATTTGGAAAAATTTTCGCATTACTCATTTGGCCTCGTCTGGAAGAATAGTGCCCTTTTTTTTAATGTTGGGCATGAGTATATAAAAAAAATTACGTATTTGAGGCGTTTGATTTTTTAAAAAGCTGAGACACACGTAATANTTTTCGCATTACTCATTTGGCCTCGTCTGGAAGAATAGTGCCCTTTTTTTTAATGTTGGGCATGAGTATATAAAAAAAATTACGTATTTGAGGCGTTTGATTTTTTAAAAAGCTGAGACACACGTAATATACGATTTTTAGCTTCGAGTAATAGCTCAATATTAACCCAGCATTTTCCAGCTCCCCTCAATCAATACCATAAAATACAATGACCCATTTTTTTTACGAAAGAATAGAAATTACGGGAATTACAAACCAGGCATCCGATTAGAACAGCATCGGACTGATTTCTTTCTCTTTCATCTCTGCAAAGCTGAACCAATCTTGCCACTACTCCCATGTGCACAACTTTTTTCGCCACGTCAGTTTCACTACACAACCTGAAAAAAAATCACGAAGTTCAGTAAATGAAGCGAGGAGAGCCTAAAGTTGACCAAAAGTTGTAAAAGACATTTGAGAAAATATCAAAGAAGTAATCCGGGCTGGAGGAAGCAACGTGCACTGTGATATTTTTTTACGTCCTGACTACGTTTCGAAAACGCAGTTACAAGTTACGACTAACGCTATAAGTTCAACCAAGATTTCTTTACTTATTAAACTTTCGAAACTCAGCATTATCAGTGACTGTAAACCACAGTAATTTAGAATACAGCAACTCATTGACCACGTGAAGCCTTGGTGGAAATCTTTTCATTCGTTTCTCACCTTGAGAGTGCGATTGCAGATTTTTGCTGGACCCGTTCACACGCAGAAATTTCAGCAGGTCTTTGATCTGGCCTTGGTGAAGATAGTAAAAAGTCATGCAAAACTCGCAAGCCATCGTCAGAGGCCACAGTTGTTCTGCAAATGGGACTCGCTGCCATATTTGCCAACACAGTAGCAATCTGCAAAAATGGAATAGCATCGATTGAAAGGTAATATCAAATCCGCACTGGCTTTTATTTCACCTGGTGTCCACACTCGGATGGAAATTTTGAAAAGTATTCACTACTCGAAAATTCTTAATTGGCAGTGTGGCCGTCAGAATATAACAGGCTCAAACTATATTTGCACGAGGGGTCGTTAAAAAGTTTTTTCAAAGCCTTGGTAAAAATTTCGTTAGGTAACCAAATTCAATTCCTTTCTTGAATTGCACGACTTTCTTGAGCAATGTATTTCTCGCCGAATGGCATTTTTAGTCATATTTCGCAGCATCGAACGAATTCCCAGGATATCGAGACACTTGATCATCAGCAATAATTTTTTTTAGATTTGTGACATTGTTGCCATAAATATCCTCAATTTTTCCCCTTTTTTGTCTCTTGAAACGCATTAAAAATATAAAAACTTGATCGTTTTTGCTTCACAGCAACGTGGCATAATTTTAATTTCACATATCCTAAGAATTGAAATGTGTATAATAGAGAAGAAAAACTGGGAAAAGCGGTCAGGAAATAATTTAATTCTGCATTACTGTAATTTGGTAAATGCATGACATATCCGTCAATAATCAACAAGGGAAGCCAAAATCGGCAAGAATTTCATGAACCAACCCTCGTTCTTCATCCCGTATCTTAAAACCATGCCATACCTCATATTTTTTTCCATTTAGAGAAAAATTGAAGAATTTTGAAAATGAAAACGAACCTGGTCTTTGGCGAAAACGACGATTTGGTAATTTGTCGCAGCAGCAATCAATACTTGCGCAGCAGAAATATCCCTCATGATGTCGATCGCCTCGGGCGCCAAAA